CTACTGAAGCATTAGAAAAGGGATATATTAGTAATGCAGATATATTTTTTTTTATTGGGAAACTTATATGAACCTGAAGAATCTTTTACTTCAAAAACTTTTCTCTCCATTTATTACCGAGATTTTGCAAGTTTAAAATAAGTTGAAAGTATAACGATGGAATGAAAAAAATTATCGATAACATTTTGAATATTTAGCAGCAAGTGCAGATGTACTTAAGAGCGAAAAACACCACACAAGCGGCTTGACAAACCAAGCGAAATATTTCATTAAAGCTATTTATGTTGTGTATGGGGGTGTTTGAAGGTTTGACAAGCCGTGTGAGGAACATGTGAACAAAAATCAAAATTTTTTGATTTTCTGGCAGCCATGTTGGTGTTTGATCAAACCGCTTACGTTGTGTATGATAAAATCGCCTCATTCGCAATGGAATGAGGACGCGAGATAGAAAAATCGAAGAAAACCAAACCCTTTTACATTTTGAACCGGAAGAAAACTAAAATTCTTTGTTTGAACGAGTCATGTTTGCATAAATGGGAAAAGTAGGTTTGAAGAATGTTTAACAAGCCACTTGTGTGGTGTATTTCGCTCTTTCTAAAACTTCGGAAAGCTTTTTAATCAAAAATTTACAGAGCGATTTAACAACTCTCTTGTGTAAAATATGACTGCATTTGTTATCTGCAAATATATCAAGAGAAAATTCCTCAAAATACAAATCCTCACAAAATACCCAAGCGCACCCGAAATTCCTCACGTTTTGATGAATTACCCACAAAGTGGCAACACTTTGCACGCAGCAATTTAAATTCATTAAATTTGAAAACTTACAGCCTGATTCTCTATCTCGAAACGAGCGTTCGTCTCGTCCAAACAGCCGTTTGTTCGTGTATTTGTACTACCTAACACGAATTCACTACCCTGGCGATAACTAGTCGATAACAGCTGATTGTTATGTGACGAAAACGTAACAAATGTGAATTCTCTAACACGAATACGACTTCAAATAAAGAAAAAAAGTGTCAAATTCAAACGAAAGATTTTTGCTATCGTGCGAGCCGCTAAAATGGATAATTCAAGCAAAAAAGGCAAGAAATAATCGAAAAAACATTCGTATTATTATAATTAATTGTTTAGTATATTTTACAGTGTTTAAACAACTTCCAGTGCTCAGTTCGATGTGCTGGTAAAAGAGCTGGAGAAAAATCCAGACTTGGCAAGAGGCGCTCCAATGTTTGGTGCGAGTAAGACCTCCGCACAGCTACCGAATCNGGAATGCTAGCAATGCACGTCTACTTACTCGGCGTCTGGCAATTCTAATACATTTGTACTGTCTCGAAGCCTCCGCCTCTGAATCCGCAATTCGCCTTCGTCCGAACGTTCACTTCAAAAGTGCTATTGCTTGATACATTATTAAATAATTGTATTAAAATATTGTATTTTTGAACTTTTATACACACAAAGTAAACAAAGCAATTTTGACAGATCTTTTCGGGCGAATAACGTAAGAACGTAAGGATGGACGAAAATTATCATTCGAGATAGAGACTTCCGAATTCAGACGATTTCGTTTGGACACGAATCGTTCGTCTGGCTGTTCGTTCGAGATAGAGAATCAGGCTGTTCCAACTGCCTCCACCGCGATATGAACTCGCGATCAACGATGCTTGAGTCGGAAGTTTTCTCGCTGAGCTACTTTCGTATTGTACGAGTAGTGAGCATTGGCACATTTACACCGCTAGTTTCAACTGTCCCGCTCTGCATCCGTTTTGCACTAGTTCAGAGATAGTCCTGTTATATGTAGCTCGGAACTAGCGCTTTGTCAGACTGTCTCTAAATTTTACTGCAGGGTACTTTCGTATTGTACGAGTAGTGAGCATCTGTATATATAAAATAATAGCTGTTTTCGTTGTTCGGGGTCAACTCCAAAACTACTGCATAGATTTCAGTCAAATTTTTAGAGGTTATACCTTGCATATATGGTCCTATTATAGGCTACCAGAAAACTCGGTAGGTGGCGCTGGGGTCGAGTTATTTATAAAAATCTTATTTATGAACCGATTTATTTTAAATTCAAAATTTAAGCTACCAGCATGATCGCAAACACGTTTACCAAAAATAGACCCGCTAGGTGGCGCGGGAGTCGAGTTATTTATAAAAGTCTTATTTATAAATCGATTTCTTTCAAATTCAAAAGGTATAGTTTCAGCATAATGGAAAATACGTCTACCAAAAACGGAGCCGCTAGGTGGCGCGGAAGGCGAGTTATTTATAAAAGTTGTATTTATGAACCGATTTCGTAAGCATGATGAAAAAGGCACTTGCGAAAAACGGACCTGCTAGGTAGTGCTGCAGTCAAGTTATTTATAAAAGTCGTATTTATGAACCTATATTGTTAATACACATATGAAACGTTTATTACTTTCATAATGATTTTTGTTTTCATTCGAAACATATTCAGCCTTATCACGAGTTTCATCTTCCCTGAACCGGTTCACTTTTCGCTTTTGGCTTCCATGTCTTACTATGGGGGGAATCAAAATTTTCGCGTGATTTTTTTTTTCGGGCGAAACTCAAACCACTCAATAGAGCCCAGTCAAATTGTCGGAGGTCCTATTATAGGCTACTAGAAAACACGCTGGTGGCGCTGGAGTAGAGTTACTTATAAAATTCGTATTTATTAACACATTTTGTTCAAATTCGCAGCGTGACTACCTGTATGATGAAAAATTCCTTTGCTAAAAATGGACCGCTGGAGTTTAGGTATTTATAAAATCCGTATTTTTTATAAAATCTGATTGGAATTCATAATTCGTATTCGGTGACAGGTAATAAGATCAACGGAAATAAGGTCAATTGACTTTATTTCCCACCCTGGTGCGAAATAAAGTCAATTGACATTATTACCTTTTTAAAAACGAAATAAAATCAATTGACATTATTTCTCTTTCAAACATTAAATTTGCTTAGCTTCGCGGCGGCCCGCGTTAGCGCGCCACACCGCGCGCGAACAGCGCGCACACCACGTCACGCTACGCCGCGGCCCCCCCTTCCCCGTCTCCCGCCGTGCTGTAACGCAGGTGGATTTACTTTTTGTATACGTTGAAATAAAATTTTTATATATTTTAAACATCGAGGGCTTATATTCAATAATACCCTCTATCTGCACATTTTTCACAAAGATGAGATTCTGATATAAAAATCCACCTAAGCTTTAACTGTCATCATTGATATTAATGTTACCTTATATAACGACAGGTAATAAGTCCCACATGGTTTCTAAAATCACAAATTAGTTTTTGTGCAAATTGCAGATAGAGGGTATTAATGAATTCAAGCCCTCGATATTTCACCTTTTTATATTTATAAGTTATTGGAAGCAGGGATGCCAACTTGGCTCAAACCGTGCCATTTGTCCCTATTTTACTTCAAATGGCAGTTAATTTTTCAATTTGGCATAATTTATTATTTTTCTCTTTGGCACATTTTGGCACTTTTTTATCCTCAATATGGCACCTCATAGCTAAGGATAGTTGGCAGCCCTGATTGGAAGATTTCTGCTGTGTTGTGGGGCAACAACTTGTATGCAGTAAAAAAACATATAATTTGTGTTTCAAGAGTGTGTGAAAACCAATCAATTAACTTATATGATCTCGGTTCCGATATTAAATAATCAATAATTTTTTATACCCGCATTTTGGCACATTGGCTCGTTGAATGTGCCATCTAATAAATAGTGTCGTCGTTCTCCTTAGCTGCTTTTAAATGATGTCGTCACAAATTGCTGGCGGAGACATGAATACAGTGTAAGAAAATTCTTTTTCTATAATTGTTTCCTTATAGAAAGGTTGGTTTCTTTTCCACCTTAGACATTCCGAATTCGTTCAAAATATGCTAATTTAAAACACAGAATTATTTCAGTGTTCCTCCGGGGTTTTTGGACATGGACTGTTTCATCAATTAAATAGTGTTCGCTTTATTTTTGTGGAAACGAAAAATGTTTTGCAAGTTATGGATCATTTCTACACTCTTTCTTCAAATATTTCTTGTATTCCATCTGTGCGCAGGCGTTTAGTTTTTCGCATCGTGTTTTTACATATTCGTAATTTAAATCTTTTTAATAAAATCAATTGGTGGTAGTTCATGATTGTGTGTGGATTAATATCACAACACTGAGTATTTGGCAATAACCTTTTTCATCTATTAAGAACAACATTTTTTTCTATGAATCGACATACTTCAAGCATTGTTGACGCTATTTCCATTTGAATGAGGAAATAGCATCAATGACGTTATTTCTAAATTTTTGTTGACTTTATTTCGCTTTTGAAAAGGTAATAATGTCAATTGACTTTATTTTGCACCAGGGTGGGAAATAAAGTCAATTGATCTTATTTCCATTGACTTTATTACTTGTCACCTTCGTATTCATTTCATGACAGGCAAAGGTTTTGCAAAAAAGGGACCCAATGGATGACGCTGCACCCGAAATATATAGAAAACCCCACGGGGTTTGTTTATCTAAGACGAATTTACTTTTCAGATGGCTAAATCAAGGATGCGTTTAAGTATGCATATAAAGACCGTAACACTGTGTAAGCGTGATCTTGCATCTACCTCCGTTTGACGAAGTTGCTCGAGGCGGCCGTTATTACAGCAGTAAGACTCAAAGAAACCAATTCATAAATATTAAGACGAATTGTAAAAGTGTCGAATTGACAAGGAAAGATTCGACCACATCTGTCCAAAAAGGAACACGATAGGTATATCAATGGCTTCATTTGAACGATATTCATGAGATCATACGACTCATTTAGCCAGTGTACGCGAAAACTTTTCATCCTGTGGGGCAGCGAGGATTCTTGGCTTTCCTATAATTGAAAACGCTCATCTGTGCTCTTGAGTTTTCGTATAAGGACTTTTATTGGCTTACATGATACACCGGACCAAAGCTGAAGTTGCAGGATCATAGAAGAATATTACGCATGCTTGGCAGAGATCTCACAGGTGGAAATAATACCATAGGTAAAACACATTACATCGAAAGGGATAAGTATTTCATATGGAGCGCTACTATTCTTGGCATATGTGTGAGGAGGATTCCGTTTTTTAATCGTTTCAATTTAAACTAGAAATGTTTACTTTACAGACAGCTTTTGCTTTTAAGAGCTATTTTTGAATTGTGCATCGCAAAAGATCTTATTAGGCGCCGCGAAGCAAGCGGGCATTTGCTAGTTTGCACATATACACCGCAAGTTTCAACTGTCCGGCTCTGCATTCCTTTTGCAATAGTTCAGAGATAGTTCTGAGATATGTAGTTCGGAACTAGCGCTTTGTCAGGCTGCCTCTAAATTTTTCTGCAGGGCAGTGATCGCTGTTTAGCACAAATACGTTTATGTGTGGAATGTATGTGGTACAGCGCAGTCACGTCCAGCGTTGCCGCTTTGGTAATTTTTAACCAAAATTGGTAATTTTTTTCTTTATTTATCAAGTTTGGTAATTTGGTAATTTATTTTTCAATTTGGTACCTTTTTCTCTTCGGTCTTACATGTCAAATAGGTTAATCTTGGTTCTGGTTCCACACTAGTAAGTGACCCGTAAGCGTTTCCTTTTATAGAAAAACCAGGTAGTCCTGAAAGTTTCGCAAGGCGAAAGTTGTTCCAGCGGTCCTTTGCTAATAGAATGGTGTGTTCTTTAAGAAACCGCTTGAAAGTTTTGGGTGATCCTACCTTTCCCTGTCAGTTCGCCAGCTTTTCAATTACTATCAATTTTCCGGTGTACCCGGCAACCATATATATGAGTAGAATTCTACGGAAATACGTATGTTCTCGTTCAAAAAGCTACGGCATTCAGCGGGGGACTTCACTCTGTCTATATGTGAGTCGAAAGCTTTCCTTCAAGCGTTGAATTTTTGATATATTTTCTTGTCACTTGTTTACATACAGTGGTCGAAAAAATTATAACCGCACCATATTTTGATAAGTTTTAACATGTTATTTCTTTTTCTTGTAATTTAAGTTTGGTTATTTTTTATAAAAATATTGTTCTTTCTTTAACAGAACTCAAAAAAATTCAAATATCAAACTTTGTTCAATATTTAAAAAATTCAAGAAACTTTCGTAAAAATTTTATGTTAATGGAGCGCTGATTGCCTGAAAAGCTTGGTATCTTCGGATATACGTATCGTTACCTTTATATAGAAAGGCCCTAACTGATATTGTCGCTGAAATACAAAAAGCCGTAACTAAGTAAAAATCCAAAATTTCCCTTTTGATTGTTTATGATGCATTTCATCCAATTATAAATCCGCACATCATTTTAAGCATAAAAAATTTTAGTCAGTTGCGGCTTTTTTTGCGTTTCAGCGACTATATGAGTTAGGGCCTTTTTATATTAAGATAACGATATGTACAGACATATCGAGCCCTAACTGCCAAAATAACGTAAGCGACATTTTTTTCAAAATTTTCTTTTTGATGCAGAAAAGCATCGATATGTATGTTTGTGCAGTTCTGCACATAAAATAAGTTTGGTAATTTTTTGTTGAATTTGGTAACTTTTTCTGGTGATTTTGGTAAACAATAAAAAAAAATTGTGGCAACACTGGTCACGTCGCTCATACACATCTCGTTTGCCTTTGTGAGCTCGTGTTTTATCGGCACTGATATACAGAATTTTCGCGTAGCTATGCGCCGCATTTGGCGACCAAATAGGTTTACGGTCCGATTTTGCATACTTCGCATAACTCCGCATAAATTTCAAACTGTCAGGTGAAAATCTGTCGAATGCTTTTTGTATGTATTCCATTACCCAGAAATTAGCAGACCTCGTAGAAAATTAGCGATCTGTTGAGTTTAGATTTTGCCTCACGTTTTTTTAAGTGACATTTCAATTGCAGTGGTACCAATAGCATTATTTTTTTATAGAGATGCATGGAAAGCATATTAGGGGGATTCACGACACCATCCATGTAATCTTGGGAACAAGTAAAGAATAGGGCCCGTTGAGCTAAAAAAAAGAAAAAGTGAGCATGGCCCGCCGCTTTTCTCTGATTTTTTGGTGCAAATTCATAGGAGCAGTGCTAGGGAGGGTAAAAGTGGAGCTTTATATTATGAAAAGTTTTGGTCCAATTTTCAAAGTATGGATAGGGTTGGAAAGGTAATTAAAAGTCCTTTGATGATATGTATATAACATATATGTTTATACAAATTATGTAAATTTTTTTATAAAAATTTGTTTTTCTTTAAAAAACTATATTAAAAGATATGCACAAGATAAGAAAGAGAGCAAAAACACCTTTAATTAAATATATGATTTATAATAAAAAATCTTCGGTAATATCACTAAATATTAAAATATGATTTAATACGTTAAAAGAAAACAAGTAAGAAAGTCTAAGTTCGGGCGGATCCGAACATTAAATACCCGGCGCAAGTATTAAATATATGTTTTTTCACCTTTCCGAAACCTACCGCTAGATAGTAAGCCGGGGTGTATAAATTTTGAGTAAATTAGCGTCCTTAAATTTCGAAATATTGCTGTTTCAAGCATTCCTGAAATTTACCGTTATATGAAAAGGGCCGTAATTTTAGTCCGATTTCAATAATTTTCAGCGTTTTACTTTTATGTGGCAAGCACAATAACTGTACCGAGTTTGGTACAAATTGGTAGAACGGTTACCGATATACATATTTGTGATTATAAGTGGGCGGTGCCACGCCCATTTTCCAAAATTTCACCATAAACGTATTTCTTGGTAAGGAATTGTTGCAAGCATCAATTTTGAATAAATTAGCTTTAATATTTACTGATTTATCGAAGATATTGTATTTCTCTAAATTACCGTTATATGGGATGTGGGCGTGGTTATTGTCCGATTTTGTAAATTTTCGGCCATTTAGTATGCTGTACCAAGGCCAACAATTGTGCCAAGTTTGGAAGAAATGGGTGCAGTGGTTACCAAGATATACACATGTAACCATAAGTGGGCGTGGCTACGCCCATTTACCAAAAATTTATAATATTCTTATTTTTCGTCTGAAAATTATTGCAAATATCAATTTTGAGTGAATTATCTTCCAGTAGTTACTAAAATATCGCAGTTTTCGTATTTCTGGAAATTACCGTTATATGGGAAGTGGGCGTGGTTACAGTCCGATTTCGCCCATTTTCAATACCAACCTACCTTGGAGAAACCTACATACCAAATTTCGTTGAGATATCTCAATTTTTGCTCGAGTTATCGTGTACACGGGCGGACGGACAGACGGACGGTCAGACAGACATGGCTTAATCGACTTCTCTATTCATTCTGAGCATTTATGTATACATTTGTCTATATCTATCTCGATTCGTTTTGTCTGTTACAAACAACCGTTATGTGAACAAAATTAATATACCCTTGTGCACAAGTGCGCTCGGGTATAAAAAGATCTGCGGCGAACATTTGGAAGAAAATATCGCGCTATTTTTTTATTCAAAATTTTTATTTTATATTAAAAAATCATTTTATATGAAATAAATTAATAAAATATAATATCAATACAGTTGTTTTATTTCGCTGTTGGCAGTTGTCCTTAAACCTAACTATATAAAATTATATATCAAATGAAAGGTATTTTTATGCTCTTTCTAGTAAATATATCATTTGATATATGTAGTTAATTATGTATTTTTTTAAGAAAAAAATACTTATTTTATTTACATATTTTGACAGATATTGCATTGAAAATTATGTCAAACTGCAAAGAACTTCAATGTCGACTTAATTTGGACTACAAATATACCACATTAAAATAAGTTTTTTTGTAAACAAATCCACTTACCTGAGGAAACCAAAAATCAGCTGTTTTTGTTTAGACACCGTGAATAACGCTATTGCGCCGATGTATAAGGTTGGTAGTACTGATAAATTTGGTTGCATGCGAAGCAAAATCAGCCTTAAGTTTTGTAAAGTTATGCTTGCTTTGTGTTTTTTGGTAACTTTACACCCAAAAAAGGGTGCTTATCTTCCAAGGATAAAAAAATCAGTATGCCACTCGGTTTCTTTTTACAAATGCTTCGTTTTAGAAAAGTAATTATTAAAATCGGTTTAGTACTTTGAGAGACAAGTCGTGACAAACAATTTCCATATAATCAATTTTATATAATAGTATATATAGATATCTTAGCAAATTCGGTACTGAAATATTAAAAAAAAAAATATATGTATCTATTTATTATGAAGGCTTTAATATTTAGTCACACAATACCACATCTTTAACTTCGTGCTTTATTGTTATTATTTTGCGGTATAACCGCCTAAGAGATTTTGGCCGAGTTCCACAAAGCACGCCAGTCGTTTCTTTTCTGTGCCAATTGGAAATGCCAAGACAAGCCCAGTGCTTTTCCACTTGGTCTTTTCAACGCAGTAGGGCCTTCCTCTTCCTCTGCTACCACCAGCGGGTTGCGAGTTGAATACTTCCAGAGCTGAAGCGTCACTGTACGAAACCAGTGACGACGAAGATCTCTGGAAACCAAGCTTCATAACAATCTACACATTTTTTAAGATATCTTCCGCCATATTGGTTCCGTTATTGAATTTTGGAAATTGAACTTAATATTCTAAATCAGTGATGATGAATATCCCTAAATACCAAATTTCATTGAAATCTTGCAAATATGAGTAAACATTTTTGTCGTCCTATATTGTGGACTCGTCCCTAGGTGCGACATGGACAATAGTGCAGCGAATTACAAGACAGCGGCTCCGCCGGCTTGGCATTGTCGTTCGAATGTACAGCGACGCTTCAGTTCTGGAAGTATTCAACTCGCAACCCGAAGCTTTCATAATAAATTTTGAATTTAGAAAATTTGATATCAATGTCGAAATCATTGGCAACGAAAGCCGCTGGATACCAAATTTCATTGAAATCTGTTAAATATATATGGAGTAAACATTTTTCTCCTCCTATATTCTCGATTCGTCCCAATAAACGACTTAAGAAAAAGGTGCTCTATTTAATGAAGGGGGAAACTGGGGGACG